GGGTTTTATGTACTTTTACGTGGAACCGTGGTAAGAATGCCTGTGTGCATCAGAAAGAGATGTCAAATAGAGAAGGAATAAAGTACCCACGGTTCTCGCTCTGTCCTGAAAGGGAGGAATTTGCCGGAGGTTTAAGTAGCTGTGGGTGCAGCGGGCCCAGCGTGTTGTATGAAAGGAGAGAAGGTTAGCACTCCCCTTGATAAGGATGGAAGAGGCCCCAGTGGCCTGTACAACACGCATACGGTTAAGGCACTGCCACCTACTTCGTGGCATCTAACCATGTTTTTTGGGGTGGTTTTTTTTTTGTTCTCAGGTTAAAAACCAGCTCCCTCCCAGTTTCTTTCCTCATCCAAATTCTCCTTTTCCCTCAGCCCAGCCCCCGGGGATAGCTCACTGCCCCTCAGCAGGTTACAGCAGGCTCCAGCCTGCACCCAGCACAGCTGCATCTCCAGCCGTCACACAAGCCTTGTTTTCAGTACTGCGCTCTAGATCAGCTAATCCTGGCTGTCAAACCACCTCTGACACGCCAGGCTGGATATAATTACAGCGAAGCAGAGCTCATGTTGATTCCCAGGTTGGATACGAGGGACTTAAAGTGTTTACAAAGGACAGCCCTTCACATCAGGGCTCTTCAGTCTGGGAGAAAATACACCTGTTCAAGAGCTTTCCTCCAGAGAGCAGGGAATCATCTCCCTTCTCCACAGCTCTCGGGCTCAGAGGGCAGGAAAAGCCATAGCACAGCTGGGCAAGCAAAGCCACTCACACACACACACACGGTTACATGGGAAGTACTATGCCAAAAACATGTAAAAATGCTTTTCTAGAGTAATAAAGCTTTCTAGAGTAATAGAGTAAAAATGCTTTTCTAGAGTAATAAAGCTTCTCCACACTGGTAAAGCAGCACAGCCACATCTTGTAATTGAAACATTTCATTGGCCTGTGAGAAAGACTAAAAAAAAAAAAACCCACAAGAAATTGATTATTTCAGCAGTGACGCTCACTAAGTCCAGAGACACAGTGTCCTTTCCTGGAGGTAATGAAAAAAACCTCAAAAGACAGTGATATTATTAATAGCCATTTTAGCACCAGCTCAACGTGAACTCTATTTTTATATTTTAAAAAGAAAAGTTATACCTCATGTCTTGCAGCTGTCAGCTTCACTAAGGGTAAAGCAAGGCAGTCTCCAAGCAGCCACTAGAGGAGAGGTTTGTACTGTAATTGATTTTTCAGTTATTGTGAAGCACAGAAGGTTGATACCAAAAAAAAAAGTATTTTTGCTTCATCAGGAACACCCTTTGGGTGCAATAAATTTGTGCCTGAATGTAACTCTTAACCAGTACAAGCAAACTCGTGGGCCTGTCCTAGCTGAAGGTCTCAGGGAGGGTTTGTGCCAACGCTGTCCCTGCTGAGGACAGATTCAGTGCTCTCACTTTCTTTAAACAAATTTTGGCTTGAGTTACGCCTCTCTTTTCTTTTTCCACAACAGATACAAAGCACCATCCTGCTCCTCCTCCCCTCATCACTCAAGGGAGCTGCTACAGAAATACTGGTTTCTAAAGGTGTCTAAGGGAGGTGTCTTTGGACACAGATACTTCACATTAGTACACTCTTAACCACAAGCATACACATAAAATCCCACCTTTTTATTATGGCATATGGTATTTTTTTTTTGGATGTGTAAATACCACATGGGTATGACAAAAAGGGAAAGAAATACCAATGCTGAAATAGATACAGAGTCATGCCATTATCAATACAGTTTCATACTATGGATTTTCAAGATACAAAAGTCTGGGTTTTTTTTTTTCTCTTTACATTGAAATAACTTTACAGTGTTCTGTGAGCTTGCTTTATAACCAGAAGAGGAAAAAAAAAATTAAAATATGCTGAGAACAACTACAAGCAGGATTCATTTTAATGGTTAACAGAAGAACTGTAACTTTGCTCTAGAACAGCATCTATTAAACACACGTAACAAGAGGTAAGCAACTATACAGAAGGTAAGAGGAGATTTCACCACAGGAGTCAAGTCAGGGGCAGGAAAAGGGAAATCTGGAACTGCATGGTTTTATTTGGTCACAAAGTTTGAGCTGAGTGTTTAAAATGAAGCACCCTTAAAGATGCAGTACTCCTATTTAAAACAATACAGAAACTTCCCAAGAGACTAGAAGCTACATTCTGGAAAAAAAAAAATAAAAAATTCAACATTTAAAAAAAATTCCACACATCTCTAGGCTTGTGACTTCACTTACTGTTACAAAGTAGACTGGCGGCTCTTCCTTAAGCAGCAACAGTGCCCAAAAGTAATGCCACCATAAAGTACAGTATCTTTGGGGTGTCCAATACAAGGCTGACACTTCTAACGCGATGTCAGAATGATCCATTTGTCTGCCAAAAGATTAGGCAAGAAAAGGAGACACTGCATCTTTTTTTTTTTTTTTTTTTTCCCACCACGTTGCCCGGTTCTAGCAAAGAGCTAAGACGTTTTCTTTGGGCCAAGACTAACAGAAACCACTTTATCAAATATTCTTCAGGTTTCCTGCCAAACTGGATTTATTATTCTCATGTGGTTTTTTAATTTTTTTAAAAACATTTTTTCCTGACAGTCTCTAAAGTGATACTGGAACGTTTAACAGTCACTCTTCCACAGTTTAATTGTTTTGTCGTTTTCTAGTGCCGCTGATGCAATGATGTTTTCTGTTGGGTGACAAGCTGTTGAGATTACAACATCTAAGCAAAAAGAAAAGATATACAAATATTATTTACAGCAATAAAATCTGGTTCATAGCAGGCATTTCTGAAAATGAATGAATATTGCTACTGCATTTTACAACAGCATAGCTAAGGTACTATTTCCTTGTAGCAAAATTACAAACACATTATTCAAACATTTTCCAACTACTGCTTCTCTGTGAGAGGAAATACTAGCAAAAAAGAACTGAGAGTAGTAGATGTAAAGTGTTTGACAGGTTTCAAAATGTGAGAACTCTCTAGATTCCAGTTCTTGTTTACCTCACAGGCAAAACCTGTGGCGTATTATGTCAGACAGATAATTAAAACTCAGTTCAGTTTTTTTTCTTTCCAAGGAAGATATTTACAACATCTTATTCAATGCTTAGATAGCACTCCATCTTCAGAACCTTGCCCTAGCCTGAAGATGAAAACCTGCTGCCACTTACAGTCTAAGTCAATGGTCCTGCAAAGGAATAAACGTGCTTAGATTTCACAGCAGTTCCCTCTAGTCCTGCTGTCTTAGAGACTCAGACTGAAGTATCCATCAGGTGACATCTCAACACATGTTCAACTCTGCCTTTAAGAACAGGCATCCGTACAGCCTTTTACAAACAGTAGGACTACAT